TTTTGGATTGAAAATGAGATTTTTTTTTTTTTTTTTGGATTGAAAATGAGAATATAATCATCATTGGAGTCAAAATATCCCATTAAATGCTCCACACATGACATTTTAATTATTAAGATGAACAAAGTCATCATTACAAAAATTATTGGTTAGAGAAACCCATATGTCAAGAAGACTTTCTGCAGGCATTGTCCAGCAGGAGAATCATACAATAGCTTTTTGGCTGTTACACATTAAGTTTACTTCACAACCACCAAAGGCCACCAAGGAACATAACACAATTTATTACATTTGAACCAAAATAACCTATGGAGAATGAAAGAGCATGAAGACGAAGAGACAATCAAAAAGGCGATATGTCCTTCCTAGAAAAGAAGAACCCAGAAGGAGCTCCATCGGGCAATAGCGCGAGCCACACAGGACTCTCAGCTCCTTCTTCGACACTTAAGACGCCTCTATTGCAATTCAGATCAGTTTTCACATAGCCAGGGCAGATAGAATTGATCGATAAATTGGGGTATTTCTTTGCCAGTATCCTTGTGTAAGCATTCATTGCGGCTTTTGATAATGTATAAGCAGCAAGAATCGAAGGCCAGCCTTTGTCTTCTAACAAACTTGCTCCCATATCTGTTAATAACTCGTTCAGAACCATGTCAACTTTTTCTTCAGTGAGACTATTGGCGTCGCTTAATATTCCTTTGGCCCATTCATTGGAAACGAACTGCAACAACATGAAGATACATCAGTTCTAGAGTGACGACCAACCCAAGTTCTGGCCCTGTGATTATGTTTCCACATAGAAAAAGGCCTCGATAGTAGTTTGCACAGTTGTGTCCACTGCAGAATATCAAATAATACAGTGAAGAGTGACAGATTTTAATTGCTTACCTTTAACTTACCCGAGGAAGAGGAGACATTGACGATCCTTGCTGAGTCGGATAACTGAAGGAGAGGCATGAATGCTTCGACCATATTTTTTGCACCATAGTAATTTATCTTCAAGCATTCTTCTGCCAGTTCATAATTTTGAGTTGAAACCTCACTCCAGTTTATGTATAATCCATGCTGCATCAAGGAGATCAAGATTCAAAGTTAATTCCTTCAGTAACTGACCATTGAGAAACAGACTTCACTTGTTCTGCATATGCTTCATAATCAATTGATTTCAACGGAGAGGGCAGAGATCCAACGTGGGGATTAACCTTAAAAGGACTTTGAAATGTCATTCTAATCAATTTCTCGATGCTAAGATCACCGAAAGTTACATACTTCTAAGTCAGATTTAATTTCAACAACACTTACTTTACTACTTGTAGAAGCTCCAACAGCAGTCATATCCACATTTAATCCAATTACTGCTGCATTATTCACCTGTATATGAAGCAAATATCACTACAACTTATGGATGAAAGAACGGTCAGTTCCTTCTAATGCAG